GAAGAAATTGTCCGACAGCCACATGACATGTGCCATCATTCCGCTAGCTTGTATTAATTGTAAAATATGTATTAGCCGTTTCGTTGAAGCCCTTTTTCGTTTATTTATTATCATAGCGACATGTGCAGACCTTTTCTTATTTTATTATATCCAATACCTATTAGCCTAAACCATCACTGCACCAGATTCTACTCCTACTCCGCACTCTGGCCTCTGATAACTAATTGGACCCCACCGGAGACTGATTCCCTAGCGCAGTGTGACAATCCGTCCCTATAATATCTCAGTATGGCAGACTGAGCGTCGCTTCTCCCTCCCAGTTCCCAGTGTGACAGTATGGCCCCGTCAGCCCCGAGTAACACTGCATCCCTAGCTCCCTATCAGTCCCAAATGTGGCGGTGCGTCCCCGTCAGCTTAGTGAGTCCCTGTCAGCCCCCCCCCCCCCTTCCCGGTTAATGAGGCCGGACCGGTGGCGTGCCGGCCGCCCATCACCATCCGTCGCTAATCCCTGATGGACCGCTGGCCGGCCGATGCCGCTGTGGTGTCATGGGCGGACCCTCGCCGCCTGTTGGGTCAGTCCGGTCGCCTCCCGGACCAGCTACCGTGGTCGCTGTCCCCAGTTGGTATGACCGCTCGGCTGTCATAGGTCACTGACATCCTCGGGATACTTTCAGTCACTGGCATCTTTGGGTGACTTTCAAGGTATCGTTGCTGGCCGTCGATGGAACTAATCCGTTATGACACGATGCTGATGTCCTTTCTCTTTCTTTTCAGCTGATCCTCTGCTGCCTGGCGGCGGCCATACTGCGCCGTCACCTGATGGTGTGGAAGATATTCGCGCCTAAAGTGCTGTTCGAGGGCGCCTCGTTTCTGGTAGCGGGTACCGGGGTGCTGCTCACGCACGCGTTTATGCTACGCGTGGTCCGCCACGCCGGCGGCTGGCTGGAACAGCTCGCCAGCAAGGAGATCTTGTAACGGAGGCGACCGCCGGTGGAGTGGGTACCGCAACTCGCCGGTAATGAGATCGTGTGACCGGAATTGTCTGCGTGGTAACTGTAGAAGCTCGCCAGAAAGTGGTCAGAAAGTGGAAAGTGGTCTTGCGAGTGGTCTCCAAGGAAGTGGTCTCCAAGGTGGAAAGTCTCATTAGACGACATGGCACTTGGCAGGTGTGAGAGATGTGGAGTTGGTTTGTCCTCGTCAGGCCAGAGTAACCGGGACGGATGGCGAATCGAGTGATCTAGCCTGATCCTGGTGTGATGAGGGAGGAGGCAGATCACTCGGCCGTATACGGTCTCAGCTACACGGGCTAGTACAGTTTTGTGGAGCACACCTCTGCCTTTCGACTTTCAGGAATGGGAGCTCAGATAATTGGCCAATGGTTGGAGCGGCGTTTAGGTAACGTGGGTTGCCTCCGATGGCGTCATCATTTGTTGGGAGTACGGCCAACTCTCAGGCCTCTGCCTGCTGGTTTGGTTTAGTAATTTGACCCTGTTTGCAGGCGTGGTATGCCGTGGCCATTTGACCCGTGTGCACTGCCCTACTGTGCACTATTGCCTAGTCTCCGACCGCAGATTTCAGGGGTGTTGTAGGGACAGAGACCCCAGATAGCGGTCACATGAGCTTCTCTTTGTCCGTGCAATATTGTATCGCTAACTCAGCGAGCTGGTCGTGAAGCTTGGAAGCAAATCAACGAGAGGGGTAACCCTTTGATTCACTCGCAGCTTAGCTTCTGAAAGGATCGGCGCTTAGAACCAATCGAGAGTGGAAAAGGTTACGAGATAATTTTGTCGCTCGTCGCGATTTGGCTCCCATTGTTAGTGGTCCCCGAGTGATAGCTGGCAATGGGCATGCTGCCGCGCTGCGTTGAAAAGTGTAATTGCACATTCACTTCATGAATGCTACGTCTTGTTACGTGCGTACGTGCGTAAACCCATTGCGAGACGTCACCCATGAGCTTGTGTCATATCAGTTTGCGTTTGCGCTGTTTGGTTTGTTTTGCGCCTGGTTCGTTGCACATTTCAGAAACGAGCCGCTCATCATATGTAGTGCAGGATTTGATTGTGCCATTGAGGCTATGTGTGGAGCTTGTGTTCTGCCGTTTCAGGTGCCATGTGAACACGATTGATGTATTCGATGAGAACCTTATGTTTGCTCAATACTTCTGCCCGAGATGGACTCAACTTTTGTTAACGTTAATTCATGTGAAATGATAAAGTTCGAGATCAGTTTGCCCCTGAACGCTTCATGGTCTTGTTCGTTGCACATGCTGGTCACTGATGCAGCATCTTTCCGTAGAGGCTATCTGTGTTCAAATCTAGATACATTCTAGCAGAAATATGAGCCCGTCTCTTGCCCCTAGCATTGCAGTGGAAAGGCTGTGCTCACTGCCCCAGTCTTCGCCATTACGGACTGAACGATAGTGGGACTGTCTAACGCAGATACTGCTCAATGTGTCTTAGCAGAAGGCAATACGATGTGAATAGGACGGCACTGACACATGATTCCTACCTTCAGCAAGGAATACGTGTCTGCCAGCCGTTCACATGCGAGTAATCTCTGTAGTTTGTGCACTCCCCAGGCGTTTGCGCCGGGGCCGTAGTGGCTGCTTAGAAGTGTGGATGCTATTGTTGCGTGTTATAGATGAATGGATGTTTTACACCGAATACACTTTTTAGTTACTCTATATCCGTGTGTTATTGTCTGGATAAACACGAACCAAACGCATCGCAAAACTTTCCTTGAAGGGTGTAAAAAATACATCTACATAGATACTATAAAGAATGCCTACCGTGGGGTGGACAGGGAGTCCGACGCTAAGTTTCACTGCAAACGATGCTCGATTTTCATGAGTTACTTTTCACCTAATACACGTAGGAAACCACTTTAACCCGCGCCCCAGTGGCGGTCTCAGCCAACTTCGCCCTAGTGGGGTGGGGGGGGGGGGGGGCATATGTTACCACCCACCTCTAACTCAAAAACTAAGAGGGCTAGAAAGACGCGGTAAAAGCAGTCGATAGCTCTCAATGCGTACGTTTAAAAGTATTTCGATCATTTTTCACCTTAGAGCAATATTGGGGTCACCAGAGGTCATCAAAGGTCAAAATTTGCCAATTGTCATTATATTTTTCAGAAAACATGCCGCTATCTCAGGAACTATGGTAGCTAGAAAAACGCATGGAAAAGCAATCGATAGATTTTGAACTCTTCTTTTGAAAAGGTCCTTATCAATATTGACCTCAGGTCAACGGTTTAGCCTCCAGAGGGCAAAAACTCCAAAAATAGCTGTTTTTACTAAAAGTGTTTTTCGACAATAACTTTCGACTACAAAAAGCCACGACATTTCTATTGCCAGAATCGTGTTCCCCTCGCCGAGACGCGTCGAATGAACTATAATTTGACCTTGAAAGGTCAACTTGAAAATTTGACCTCAGGTCAAGGTCATGACCTTACCGGAAAAGGTCATGTTGCATATCAGTCGATGCGTCTCAACAAGACAAACACAATGAGACCATCCCCAGCGTTCTATCTCTTTCCAATCGCGAGTTATTGGCAAAAAAAAACTGTTTGTAGCCTCAAGTGACCTCGGATGACCTGTCTAGAGGCTATCAGCAAAAATGACACCTTGTTCATCAAGAGTGGACTAAATCATTGTGATTCTGAAATATTTGGACTGTTCCGATGCGTACACACTGATCTAGAGGCATTTTCATTTTTCTCCATTGACTTGTAATGGAAAGGTCACGCCACTGACCTGACCTTAGGTCACGGATATAAAAAATCCGAGATATACAAATTGTAGGCGCCCATAACAGCATACAAACCACCAAGTTTAAAACCATTCTGACAAACACTGCAGGCTGGACATGATTGCAAACTTTTTTTAGGTTTGGTCAGTTAACTTGACCTGGTGACCCGACCTGACATGACCTGGGGTCAAAAATTTTACACATTGTCCAAAATTGATGTACCAAAGGCTACCCCAAGCGGCGCGGCGCTACGCGCCGCGGTTTTTTATTTACACGCAAAAAAACGCGACAGGGTGGTAACATATGCCCCCCCCCACTGGGGCGAAGGTTAAGTCATCGATCGAAGTCCAATGAGTGAACGGAAAGCATCATGACAGCACGTATAGCATTGACAAGTACCGTGACGGCGGTGCAATCACAACACAGAGGCGAAGGAGCTCTGCCTTCTCTGGAACTCTGCTTCTCGTAGCGGCAAGGGTCCTTCAAAGTCTCGAAATCGAAATTTTAAAAGCTCGAAATGTTAGATTCGTTCAGTCCTCACTCCTCTTGGCACACGGTTTGGCCAGTCAACAGTTGAACCAAATGACGGGCTGCTGCGCCGCCGTACAATGCTGTATTGCGGCGCAGTCTACCCAGTCAGGTGTCTATCTGTCCAACCAACTGCCGCGCTGCTGCGCCGCCGTACAAGGCTGTATTGCGGCGCAGTCTAGCCAGTCAGGTGTCTATCTTGCTGCGCTGCCCTGCATACAGTGCTGTAATACAGCGGGACAATCTAGCCGGTCAAGACTTGAGTATCACGCTGGCTCGAAGTCGACACCGTCTACATTTTTTATCGATGGTGCAAATGACTGTTAAATTGACTCTCATGTCCATCTCTCATCTGCATTACCGCTGGAGGAACACACGGTGATAAAATGACGTAGATGTAGGTGTAATGAAACTAAAAATTATTTTAAGAATTTACAGTCCTCATACATTGGATATGATTCGGCACTTCCTATAGCAGCCACCGACATACAAATACGGATTGTCCGGCGCTCGGCGCTGGCCGGCGACCTTGCTCGCTGAATAAGTGATGTCCGTTCCAGGCGGGCATTGTGCGGCGTGGCGGCGCGAACGCTCTGTGTTTGCCAGTTGCCACGGTGCCGTGCGATCATCACAGGGTCGTCGGTGTCGTCCTCGTCGTCGGCGGCGGCGGCGGCGGCGGCGGTGTCGGGCGCGGCGTAGGGCCAGTGTTGTCCAAGCCGCCGGCGGTGAGGGTGGCGGAGTGCCGTCGGACCGAACTGATGACCTGAGACGCTCCACGACCGTGTCAGCCATGGTGGCTCAGGCGCGCCGTGACCCGGCCGGGGGCAAGGGGGGCGACTCAACCAGCTCCCAGCTCACGGTAGGTGTCCGGCTATATGGGGAAGCGGAGGACATTTAGGAAAGACGGTGTAATAACTCATGCCAACCACATATTTTTTTTTTCATTGGCAGCTCATCTTATGCGTATGTCCAAAGCAGTTGCTGAGTGCGATCCATTCAGTCAGAACTCAGAGCCTTGTTTTGAATTATGGGTGAAGTCTATTAGAAATAATTGGGAGTGTTCGGTATCGATAGGAGAGACCGGGGCAAACCGGTCACCCTAATCTTTATTTCTATGCCGACGCTTCATTTTCAAACTTGGAAAAATTTCATTTCTATCTATGTCATGATCCCTATTTTATTGCCTTTCATTTCACCTTCATCTCATTTCTAAAGGCGTTCACATATGGGAGATATTTGCAAAACTTTACACCCATGTATTTTGGCCACTTTGCCCCAACCCCCGGGGCAAAGTGGACACCGGCGATCTCTTTGTCCTGATATGAGAAACAGGATAGTTGCCTCATGTACGACTACATAGAGCTGTTTCAGCTGTTGATGATAACAAGGCTTAAACGAGGATGGATGTTTATTTTTTCACCTTCTCATCCGTAAATAAACAATGCAAGGACATTCATGGGAAAACAGTGCATTGCATTTTCAACAACTCATATAACCAAAAGGTGGTCGAAATAAATAATCGTAAAAATAGAAAGTAACCTGGCGAAAAAGACTTCTCCGTGTACTTCAGAAAAATGGCGACGGACCGGAAATGAAGATTACAAATCCGGGATCGGGATCCCGGTATCCCGACGGGATTAACTCCCGATCTCGATCCCGAATTTCGCCAATCCCGGGATCCCGAATAAATCAGTTTTTAACCCAAAAAGAGAATGCAGTCGCTGCACGAGTGACGTTTAAGCTGTGTACAATACTGCGTGATATAAAGCAAAGAAACTATTTAGCTGGCACCCCGTATCGGCCGACCACAATCGACAGTGTTGGTAGCTCCCGGGGATCACCCACAGCGGTTAACCCTCGCCCGTAAACGGCGATCTGCCACCTTCGCCCATGCAGGGGGGGGGGGGGGTTGGTGCGACCCCCCTTGGCGTTTGAAAACGGAGCGTCGTAGAGCTTAGCGGAAAAGACCAACGGATTGCTCTCGCCGAGATCTCGCGATTGGTGGTATATTTTTTGGTCCTAGGTCAACATTTGACCTACTTTTGACCGGTCAAAGGTCAAATTTTCGGAAAAATAGACTTTTTCAAATTTTCCGCGGCGATTGCGGCAAAACGGTGGGAGATATCGACTTGAAACTTTCACTATCGTGTTCCTTGATCAATTTTCTATCGTTTGGTATGTATTTCGTTTCCCTAGCTCTAAAAATGGCGCGTTGGGAGCGCCGGAAGTCGGCAAGGTCACAGTCGGCGGCAAAAATTCAAAAAATCAAAATTTAAATTTTTGAAATCTGATTGTATTTTTGGATTTGGGATGTCCATTTGCTCCCTATAGAAGCTAATATTGCTGCATATTCCCATTGAGGTGACAAGAATTAGCAAAATAGTGGTTCGGGCGCTTTTCAAAAATAGTACCGGACGCTGTTCCTCTTGTGACGTCATAGCTCCGTGACCTGACCTGACCCGGTCAAGTTTCTTATACCATATGATAGCCAATACTTGCCCCAACATGCATGGGAAGTTTCATCACGATCCATCAACCGATGTCCGTACCACCGGCAGGAAACCTCGGGCGTTGGCACTCAGTTTGTGAAAATCCGGCCGGAGGCTGTTCCCTTTGTGACGTCATAACTCCGTGACCTGACATGACCCGGTCAATTTTTTTTTTATCAAAAGATGCGCAAGGTTTGCCCCATAAGGTACCCAAAATTTGGCGGCGCTGCGCGCCGCCGTTTTTGCACTATTTCCGAAAAACCTCAGGGGGGGGGGGTTGCACCAACCCCCCCTACATGGGCGAGGGTTAAGCCGCTTAAATGCGTACGGTAAAGGGTCCTCGAACACCGAACGAATGCGGCATAAGCACTGCAGCATCTTCATCAGGGCCACGGATCGTCCAGCAATCCTGACTTGTCCGTGGCCGGAACAGAAGAGGTTAGTTAGCAAGACAGTCGTCGGCTCGTGTCACAGAAAGATGCTACAGATGTCACGCAAATGCCAAGTGCCGACAGAGCTTACTGATTCAGACGTTGGAGACGAGCAAAGTGGAGCTCTCCAAGTCAGTGACTTGGCTGCCCCTCAAAGCGACTTTGTAGTAAAGTCTAAGAAAAATTATTGATAAAAGCGGAACCGGAGGGAGGTGAAGTGACGAAGCGACGTCTTCAAAATATTGTTAAACAGGAGCCTCCAGACTTGGCGTACCTACACTGGTCGTAGGTTTTAGTTTTACAATATGACAAGCCAACAGCAATGGCTTAAAACGGTCGTGCCAGCTAGCGATAGAGCCAGAGCGGGTGTCAGAACCCGCCTCAATAACGAGACAGTAAGCGATCAACACATGCAGTTCTGTAAAGGCCAATTGGGAATAAATGCTATAAACTTTATACTTTAACTTTAACTTTAAATTTTATAGCCAACTGTAAACGTTTTCTTAACAAATTTAATCGTTTTAAAATGCAAAGGACATGGTTTAAGGATGGCTTTTGGTTGTCTCTTTGTTCATGTTAGTCTTCTACTTAGACGCAAAATCTGTCAGTAGGAAATTATTCTTACCAGCGTTTTTGACAAGACCGGGATCCCCGGATCCCGAAATAACAACTTTCGGAATCCCAGGATTGGCAAAACGTTCCGGAATTGCAATCTCGTGCCGGAAAGCCAGGTGTTGCTCATTCGAACGACCGCGAAGAGAACTGTAATTGGCAAATGGTAACCAATAGCTGTAGTTGACACCAGCTGTAAAGGGTTTAAGTACGGGGTGACCACTTTGCCCCGGGTGACCGCTTTGCCCCAGTCTCCCCTACCTACCGTAAATAAGATACCCCTGAAATCACTTGACCTTAGATGTCACCGGTTGAGCTGTAGACCGATTGTAAATCCTCGTTATGGGGTCAACAGTAATTATTACACACCGTCTTCGGCAAGGAAAAAATTGATTATTGATTCAAAGCGGTCATGCAAGTGATTGTTTGGTATGGTGATATGTACTATAAGGTAACGGAATTTAATTTCGCCTCATTCATAAAAGAATAAGGATGATAAATCTGCTTGAAATGCAAAATTTTGAAAGGCACTTTCAACCTCAAGGGTCAGATTCTATTAAGCTTGTATAACTATTCTATTTTATAGTGCCTATTTGGCGCTTCATAAGGCCAAGTAACTGTATGCAAGGAATCGCAACGTGTTACGACTTTGTTCCACAAATACATACCTACAGGACCATAAATCAGACCACCATGCTGCTCAGACCACCTGTGAGTCACCGTTTCTTACTACAGCAGGTGTTGCAATCAATGGCATGAACCTTTCATACTCGCGTGACTATGAGGCATTCACTTTGGCATCATACACCAATGTTTAGGTACCTACAGTCTTTACCATTAAAATTTAAATTGCTTTGGTGAGCTGGTGTTGTGTACTTTTGAAGAAACGTACCTTTTTTCCTGTTACGTTTCTTCGAATGTCTGTAAATGAAACAATAACAGGTGAACTCTTCATCCACCTCTGTGGCCGTGCCCGCAGGTGGCGGTGCGGATCCGTCCTCTCATGAACAACGAGAAGGCACGGGGCCGCGTAGCCGAGGCTCTGGATGACAAGGTTGGTGGAACATCCCGTGACCTCATCTCAAACCGAGCTTTTCTCATAATGGATAGGTAAAATATATTTACGATCTACTTTACGGCTAAGGGTCGGAGCATTCAGCACCAATCAAAAGTGACAAAGAGCATGGACCCAGTAAGGCCTTTGTTGTATGTTCGACGTACTTACATACCTATATAGTTGATAACTTCCTGTTTGGGAAAAAGGTGAGACGTTCTTATTTCGTTTGAAAAAGGCGATTGTAGTTTTGCACCTTCAACAATGTTAACTTCTGAAGACTTGCAGATATCAAACCTTTTCCTCAGCAATCGCGAATCTACTGATGACTACACATATGAAAACGTGTCTATTGAGCTGCAATGCACGAAGTGAAATTGTTACGCTATATGTTTTGCTCATGTGCGGTAACCGATTTTCAGATGGTGACGTTGATGGACAACGATGGAGACAAAAACGATGTCCTTCGTCAAAAACGGCGACAGGAAAAACAGTTTGTGTACGACATCGCCTTCGGAGAGGACTCTAGCCAAGTTAGTAGGGTTTGGGTTCTTTCCTGCTCAAAAATGTTTTACATATTTCCATGTTTCATTATATTGACATACGTTTGTATGATACAAGCACTGTGCTGCAAATACGCGCATGCTACTTACAGTTCTGAGAGAGACGTTTTTCACTGAAAGTTGTGATTGTTTTTAGTCAAATTCCCAAGGCAGAGTTCCAGTTTCAACGTACAAGCCATCCCGTTTTGTCGACCATTATGTATGCAGTAGCCTGCTGTGTCCATTGTGTGGCCTGCGAGGGCCGCCGAGGCCGCTGGGTCGATATACGGTTGCAGCTCGCACCGATCGACGTGCAACGTGCAGCGAGCTACGACACGGTCCACTGGCGCGTCCACACAGACCACCGACCCGTCCACACTCCACACAGACCACAGACCCGCCCACACGGGCAACCGATCCGTCCACACGGACCACAATGTCCACACAGACTACAGACCCGCCCACACAGGTCACAGACCCGTCCACATACCACAGACCCGTCCGCACAGCACCGACCCGTCCACACTCTACACCGACCACAGACTTGTCCACACAGACTACAGTCCGCGTCCACACAAACCACCGACCCGTCCACATGGACCACTGACCCGTTCACATGGACCACCGAGCGCCGTCCGGCGTCCACACAAACCCAGCCACATTCAACACTACCACGGTCCACACTCACAGAGTCGTCCTCCATTATGCATCGCTCGCCTTGAACTGCAGCGTTGTTAGCGAGAATTCAATTGGAATATCCAGCATTGAACTACGTAATAGGCATCACGGCATCAGGCATCACGCAGACGTTTCGAAACGAATGCTGGTTCTAATTTCTAAATAGCGCTTTTTACCCTTGTTGCAAATTGCGGCACCTTTTCTTTCACTTACCTAAGAAGCGGGCGAAATAATAAAATTATGAGAAGTGTAATGACTAAAGTTTCCATCATTACAGAAAGTGGTGTACGAGCGCACGACTCGGGACCTGGTACAGGACGTCCTGAAGGGGTACAACGCCACAGTGTTCGCCTACGGTCCTACAGGTGAGAAGCTATCAGTTTAGGGGAAAGGCCATGAGTTCAGGGTAGCTACCGTGCATGGTGGTCAATAATCCGACGGTGTTCACAGAGCAAAGTCAGTGGAGCTTGTGAAGGTCAAAAGACCACAGAGCGGAGATCGTGGATAGTCAAAGAAGGAGGGTGACCACGTGGAGGCCGTAAAAATGTGCTGCGTTATTTCTAGCCTGCACAGTGCACACACCACTGGATACAGTAGCATAAAGGCCTTTGAATACCGAGGTAAGAGGTATACCGGTGTACAGAGGCTTATGATCACAGTGATCTGTTTTCCTATCTCGCCAGGCGCTGGTAAAACGTTCACAATGGTGGGAACCGCTGAACAGCCCGGTATCATGGTCCGAGCGCTCAATGACCTCTTCAAGGTCATGGAGGAAAACAAGGAGGAGCAGGATTTCAAGGTGGGTGTCCAGTCGACACGTTCGGGTGCAGATGATTTCAATGTCATTAGTAAAAATAAATGATAAAATGTAAAGCTTAAAGTTAGACGAGCTCTTCACCAAGATTTTGATATGTTGATATGAATGCCACTGTTCAAAATTACCTACTTTTCGCTCTAATGAAAAAGTCAATTCCTAAGTGTGAACAAGTGAATAAATGTGAACGGCTAACACGGTATCGAAAAAGGAAATGGTTCTGTTGCTAAGCGCATGATCGGTGAACTGTTTCAGATGACGCTGAGTTATTTGGAGATTTATAATGAAAACATCCGCGACCTCCTGAAGCCCAGCACTGGAACTTTGGACCTCAGGGAGGACGCCAAGAGGGGCACCATTGACGTGGCAGGCCTCTCCGAGGTCACGACACAAAGTACAAAAGAGGTATGAGTACTGTACCGTGCATTTGCATTCCGAGTAGAAGATTCTAACTATTTCGTTCTAATGGTCGATGTTTATTGTTGACTCATATATGGCATATATCTGTCCTTGTGTTATTAACTCAAACATCGGATTGAAATTTTGTCCATTGCCTAACCCAACATTTCAGGTAATGGTATCAGATGATTTCAAATTTCACGTCTTGTGTAAATAATACAGGAAGGCTGGCAGCCGGTCCGTGCCGCCGGTAGGACTGATACTGCCGGTGTAGTAATGACGCTACTGCACAGGTACCGTAACAAAATGTGATGTTCCCGACTGCAGGTGATGCGGCTCCTGACCAAAGGGAACAAGGAGCGAACCATGGAGTCGACTGCCGCCAACAAAACCTCCTCCAGAAGTCACGCCCTACTCATGGTAAGTACCATATTATAGAAGGTGGAATGAATGCCTAGGACGTCACACCACCCACCTGTATATTTATTTAAATGTTCCAGTACTTCAGTGTGTTCCACTGTGGCGCTGTAACCTTCCGGTATTACTATTTTACAAGTTTAAAAATAAACGATCGGAAATCTGTGCTATCATTGGGGCACTTCAACTGATGATGTTAATGATTAGGCAAAGCCAAAGTGACAGCTGACTAAATAAGACCATCATTCACAAAGTGCCTGAACCAGCTGAATTCAGTGCAACAGCCCATTCTTATCTGATAATGAAGGCCACAAATCGCCAACAAGTATATAACGTGACCACTCGTTACCACCTCATTAATTGTGGATTGTCGCCGGTCGTTTTATCGCCTGGCCGGTGGACAGTGCCGGCAGGCGCCGATCACGCGACGTATCGTCTCTCCATCGATTGGTCTTTGATCGACCGCGCGCGGCCACCAGGCGAACGACGACTGTATTGTTATGTATTGTATGGGTCTCTGATCAGGGCGCAACACTGTGGCACCATGACGCATCAACAGGGCAAGCAGGCGGGGTGATTAGATCTCGGGGCCGTTGTGACCTTGAGGACTTGGACATCACTATCTATCGTGATGATGATTATATAAAAGAGGTCAAGGCTGACTATTTTTGTCGCAACGTCATTGTGCTCAACACATAGCCGTGATGTTTATGCATCTGTTATTGTACTTATCTGAAAAGTTGGTTATTGCTTATTACAAGCCAACTAGCGCTGAGACTCGTCTAATTAATCGCATGGATACGCATAAAGCTGTAAAAAAGCAAAATGTTGAGCAAATAGTGGCCTGTGAAGCGATTTCCTTGGCTGCTTTGGCTGTTTTTTAATCGTCAACAAATCCGAACTCTATACTTTCAGGTGAACGTGCGCCAGCAGTCGCGGGTGCGTGACATTCACGAGACGGTGAAGACGGGTCGGCTCTACATGATCGACCTGGCCGGCTCAGAGCGCGCCAAACGCACCAAGGTCAGTTGTGTCAATGGTTAACGGGTCAAAAAGCGCGCCAAGTGAACCAAGGTCAGCTGTGAGACGGCCTGGTTCGAGTCAAAAGCTGCTCCGAATACATCAAGGTTAGTGGTTCCGCTGCAGCGATACATGGGGCTCAGTCAGGGTCGTAAAACCAGTCGCGGGTCGATCGAACCGGCTACGGCGTTGCTTGCCAAAAAGATGCGGCACAGAGTCTACCAGTACCGCATTCAGTTCCCCGACAAACAAATATACACTTTTTCTTATCAGATGTAGCTAGATTGTCATGGTGGAGTTCAGCTACAACAATTGCATTATTGGAGCTCTCCTGTGTTATCGATGTTCAATATAAAGTGCGCCGCTTCGTAACATTGGGCAATGGGCACGTCTTGACCCCCGGATGTAGGTATATTCGCGTTTATTTAGTTTGTTTATTCATGCACGTGAGCATGCCTACTGAACGTGCATTTTGTCTGAAATTCAATCCCTGACACTTGTAATTTGCCATTATTAACTTTGAAATGACCACAACTCACTCACAAATCACGATTAAAATAACGTATTGAAACCACAAACAGGCCGCGTATTCAAAACACACCGGCCGTCTACAACCCGCGCCTAATTATAGTTCACAGGGGCCACGGCGCGTGCGGCGGGCACCCGCCGGGCCGGGCCCCGGTCAGGTCGATGGACAGGTGCCGTTCGGTGTGGTCACTCCAGTCGTCCGGGCAGCGCGCGGTCGATGCTATTTCTCAGGACAGTATGTACGGGAATGGACCGCGGGCACGCCCCGCCGTCGACTCGGGCTAATGTTTCGGCAGATGGTATCAGTTGCAGGCGGTTCCGTCTGCGGCTGGGACAGATCGATATGAAGACTGTTGCATGGAGATTGCCTTGACCGGCCCCGCCTATTCGTACTGGTAACACTTAGGCCTATTTTTTTTTAGGATGTGGTCACTTGAGTTTGGGGCTGACGATGCTCAATGGCTTGAGCTCGATAAAAAACATGCCCGACAGTATACGCCTATACAAACCACAGTAATTCTTTTTAGAACTCCCACTCTAAGTACAAACCAGTTCATACGTTCATTTTGATCTTTTGTCTTCAGAACCAAGGGAAGCGACTACAAGAAGGCGCCCACATCAACCGCTCTCTGCTGGCCCTTGGGAACTGTATAAACGCGCTGGCCGTCAAAGGAGCGAAATACGTCAACTACAGAGACTCCAAGCTCACCAGGTACTAACGATTATTTCGTCAAAATGCGCTATCACTGTTGTTTGATATGCACGATTCACGTACCATTAGTTGACAATAGATATAGCAACACTCACTGTTTCATTAGAGATAGCCACTAGCCAGTTCCCAGCAGTGTGCTCATCACCCTCGGTGTCCGCAGACTCCTGAAGGACGCCCTCTCGGGTAACTGTCGAACCGTCATGATCGCTCACATCAGTCCGGCGATGGCGCAGCGGGACGAGACCTTCAACACTCTGGTGTACGCCGACCGAGCCAAGAACATCACCAACAAGGTAGGTAACGAGCCGCTGCGACCGTAGCAGGCGCACCTAAATGACTCCGAAATGAAGAGCGACATATACGTTCATGCTCCATTTCTCTAAACGTTCTATGAAATGCACTACATACTTTACAATACGCACTATCTACGCACATATCGTACACCAGTCACAAGCCACCAGTCACATCAGCAAAGCGTGGAATCGCTTCACCCTCTTTATTTCTTTCACTGTCATGCTTGATATACGCGTCAATAACGTGCGTGACTTTCCTCGTGCGCCCTATGTCCTTCAAAAATCGTCCGTGTGCTTTTCGATCGTCACCGGCTCGCTTATCGGTTTCGGCACTGGCGAAGTGCCTCATCGACCGGGTTTGTGTGTACAGGTGAAGCGGAACGTCCTAGATGTCACCCACCAAGTCTCGCAATATCAGAACATTATTGCCGAGCTCAAGGACGAGATCGGACGACTCAAAACAAAAATCACCGACAAGGTAACTCAGAGTAGTCTAAAAATTTACCGTATTGGCCGTAGTCAAATAGTTGTCTGTTTTACGATTTATTTCATTTACATTGTATAGAGCATACCTATGTAGAGATCACTAGAACAGTCAATATCAAGTGTAAACAGCTCCTCGGTTTTCTTTTTATACGATTTTTAACGAGCTAGGCTATCCGTATTTGTGTCACGGTAGAGCGTCGACCTCTGGACACATGTTTGATCTGTTAATCAGTACCTAATCATCATTACCTTCTTCCTTCTCTCTCTCTCTCTCTCTCTCTCTCTCTCTCTCTCTCTCTCTCTCTCTCTCTCTCTCTCTCTCTCTCTCTCTCTCTCTCTCTCTCTCTCTCTCTCTCTCTCTCTCTCTCTCGTCTTTCTTCCTATAACGTCTCTCAGGACGAGCAGCCGGAGACGCCGGATCCGACTTCACAGCCTCGCAGCCAAGAGCAGGAGGAGGAGCTTCGGGAGCTCCGCAAACAGCTCGTTAACCTCTTCAGAGAACAGATGGAGTTGAGGTAGGTCCAAGGTGCTTATTAGGTATGGTGGAATAGCATGGCAAATTGGTACACAATCCAATATTATCTAATCATTGACAGCAGCCATAAATGTTTCTGAGCCCACTTATCATCCTCCAGTTTTATTCCGCTTTTATGTTGCAAAAAATAGGTATCAAATAAATGCACAACCAATGCTTTATTCCTTTTTTTATAAAAAACCGAAATGCGTCCTTTTCGTTACTGATCTGCATAAAATCCTGAACGTAAGTAAATTTATTGATTTCTGCATCCCACAGACACCAGGTGATCGAGATCGATAACGTATTGCTCTGGCTGGCCATGGAGTTTGAGAAGCAGACGGCACTCATCAACGAGTACGAACAGGAGCGGACCATTCGACGGCGACGACTGGAGAACGCCTCAGAAGCGTCAGACAGCCCAGGTGCGCAGTAAAACGAACGGAACAGGTGCTGATATCATTTATCCTGGTTTTCGTTTATGTTACAAACGGGCTAGGTTTTGGATGAACAAAACAGATTTTTAGATTAGAGGAACCCTAGTGCGTGCTGCTTGTACGTATCACTTTTAAAATTATGCGTTACTTAAAATTGTTTTCATCGGAAATGTAACATTTCTTCACAAGCTTTTGCAACTACGATGGGAACAAATCACTCACCTGTACGACCGTTCAATTTTACATTAGTTCCTCCCCTGACGCAGACGGCGTGTTCGAGGATGAGGAGGAGGAGGAGGAACCTGAGGACATCGTTCAGGCCTGGGATGATCTGCGCTATATCCAGGAGGAGGAGCAGAGGTAGGAACTCCCAACTCAGGAACATGATAAGACAGCCCCGATAGTTATAGCGCTATAAACTTGAAGTCGGTTCTGGTTCAATTAACAGTGTCATAGTAGTATTGTTCCTGCAATGTCTTTTCATTATGAGCAATTGCAAAAGTTCTTGCTGACTCAACTTAAAAGTTTCCGCTCAATGTTTATGGTGTCAAACGTGTTTCATCGCATGGTGCACGGTAACGGTGTCAGCACAGCCATCATTTTCAGATACCAGGATATGCGTAAGAACGCAGAAGCAGACCTCATCGACCTCAGAGAGAAGGCCAGTAAAATGGAAGAGGTAAGTCGACACTTCGGTGAGCACGGAAGCGGATTTGGCAGTTTTAATTAGTCAAAAGTTTAATAAAGCATCGGCATATTTTGCCTTGGCCTTTCCGTCACCTTTGTGAAGCCGTTTGCACTGCTCGTTTTCGGTGTTTTCAGTGGAGCCGTTTTCGCTGCTGGCTTTCCTACGATGAGCGCAGTGCCTGCCCCGGTGACCTACTTACCTCCCTTCCGTAATATAATGTGACCAAATGGCACACCCACGCCCATCCACTTAGCCTATGCGCCAGCGTTCACCCCAAGTCGTTAAGTCCCAGGTGTGCATCGACCTGCCCGTGTTACAACTAAAGCGCGATCATTGTATGACCCAGTGCGATTTATCAAAATAATGCAACTGTCTGACAAGACCACACTACACATTAGTTAATGCATAAACTCATTTTGCGGGTGTCCTTTTACAGGCTCTGCCGGACAAAACGTCAACGGACGAACAGAAGGAGCTGCTCGAACTGCTGCTGAAGACGCACGAGCTCGAAATAGAAAACGTGAGTGTGAACATGCCGCAGGTTTGAATCATGGTATAATACATATGCCACCAAGGCTCATATGATCAATGGTTTAGGTGATTTATAGTTATTCCATTCACATGTTGCACGCAAGTTTGCATGCAAGAAGTGCAGAATAAAGCTTCCAAGACTCGCTGAGCCTGATGACGGCGCGCTTTTTAGCTTTGATGGCTATGTCGGTTTAAGTTCTTCTATTGCAACATGAAAAGGGCATCTAAGCGTATAAATTTTAACGAATACACAAGTTTCAATTACTTGCATGCTTATTTGGATAGAGCATGTATTGCAACATAACTACATGACAACGCGCACTGTTTATTGACCTCGGCAATGTGCAAAGTCGCGTCGCACACCCCAATGCGATATCGCATAATGCATTGCGATGAAAGCACTTCGAGACGCGTGCTTCTAATATTCATTTCACCAGGTCACATATACCAATTTGGACGGTAAAAACGGCTCCTCTTAATTTGTTGGCTTTTGCCATCATCGATAATACACATACCTACAATTGTCAAACGCTTTTTAAACTGCAATTTCTTTGCTTGAAATTTGACTGTCACCAATTCAAACTCCTCACTATACTTGCTAAAAGCTTCAGAAGTTCTTCTCTGAAGCGGCCGAACCAAATAAACAATATCTGACGAGTGTGCAATAGCTGACAACTGCAAACAGCGCTACACTTAATGTCAATTGTGATGTGTTGCTACAGACCACGACATCCTCAATTTCAAAGGCTTGGCTGGCATTTCACCAGACTTCTCTGTAATGGCCTTTCTTGTTGTTCCAATTATGAAGCACGTCCGGCCCGGTCAAAGGCGCCTCCGGCTGTATTGACCCGTCCCCGGCCCACCTACGCCAGGGCCACTGCACGGGGACGGGACGGGCGATTCCAACAAATAGCCGCCCCAGTGCAGTCCGCTCGACACTGGCCACTGCCATGGTGACCTACGGCACACAAACACACATACACAACACACACGATTGTGGCTATCCGTCAACACATTTATGTTGGAAACACATCGGATCTGAATTCTTCACTTGATATTCTTCTGACACCAGAATACAAGGGAGGTACACGATTAATTCTTTCAATTCGTTTTTTATAACGATTATGTCGATAACTGTTCATCGAATGGTTTTGGCAGCAATCGTCTTTAAAGAGATTGTGGTTTCCGACGTTAATGAACTGCTGTTAGAAGTGTCGTGACTCGTGACACTTTAACCACTTGTACCGTTTTGTCTCTTCTTGAGCTTTCCTTTCCTACAAAAGTTTGTTCGTACTGCCTTCCCAGATGGAGATGCGAAGTAATCAGCTGATCAAAGACCACGAGCTGCGGCGGCGAGATCTGATGATCCTGCGATATGATCGCCAGCGGACGCTTTGTGACGAGATCATCAGCCGGCAGAGACAGCTCATCGAAGGTAACACGAATCAGAGAGCCAGGGGAGCATGAGACGCATCAGCCGCTCCCACGCTGCATGTATAGGGATAGGAATAGGAAAGCTACCTCCATTGATCAACGGATATTGGCAGGCTAGCTCGTAATAGGGATAAAGATAGGAATGAGTCTTTGACTGATGTGAAATAGCGCTGGATTACTTTTAGGACCTTTCAGTAAAAGAAAAAGATAACAAAAACCCGCCTGTCACCGATCTGTCCACCTGGTTCTTGTGAAAAATTTATGAAACCGGGTAACTGTGCTCCTTCTAAACTTGCACCGACTGCCTCTTTCCCTTCTGTGTTCTTTTGGCATTATCTTATCTACTGAATATGCCAAATCTATCCTTTTACCCCCTTATTTCTAGAACTACGCGTTAAAACAAGCCATGTACTTGATCTAATTTATTTGAAGATACCTTATGCTGCACCTTGCATCACTCTCTTCCTTACACCCTGGTACGAGTACTTACCTACTGACTGATGTTCTGTGCAGACATGGACAACGGTCGCGGTGCGGGCAGCCTGCAGATGCCCGCCGAGCTCCAGGAGATGTACGACCTCTACACACAGGAGGTGCACGGGGCCAACGGACAGCGCAACACACGCTTCCTCAACGAACTCAACGAAATCCTTCGGGTAGGTGGATTGCGGAATGAGATATTTAACGAAAATTAATGTTAAACATCTTTAACGAAAATTACAAAGTCTAGGAAAAGCATTATGAATGTTTGAGGGCTTGTATTATTCCTAAAATAGTGATCTCTCAACATCAGTAGGATTATTGTAAGACCTTGTTGTTTGATAAAAAATGGTCCTAATAAACGGACAATTTCCCACGGCAGAATTAAACGGTTTGTTTCAAAGTTGATATATTGCTTATACAAATAACACCGTTATACTATAACTTTCTTCACAAAATAATTGTGAGGTTTTCAGCCGTCTTTGTTATTCGTTCTTCGCTTTCACACGATCTGCATTCTGCATGCGTTTCCAAACGCCTATCCCAGCACTGAGCAGGTTCATGACTCAGGATCCTTTCTGTCCGACAGACGCCGTCGATGCTGTCGCTGCGGCCTGGTGACGTCCCCTCGATCACCCCCCGTCGGCAATCGACGTTCGACGGACGCCTGCCGCCCATCAGCAGCGAAAAGTGAGCAACCGTGCGCACCTCAACCGTAGCTGAGCAGCCCTCGCCTAGCGGATGAATCAGAAATATCAGTTGTATAATCTGCCACTAGGTGGCTGTGGTGGTAAGCGCCTGAGGGTAGGCTGTACCGCACGACTCAAGGCCGCGTATTTACGGCACGGCTCCCTTTCATATCGTGAAGGCGTAATTGACCAGCACCTGGAAAAGATGTTAAACGAATAAAATATATATTTTGCGAATCTTCACACATGCAGGTAATTTTGGGGAAATGTCCATTTATTGAACCGGAAAGGTCATGAGTGGATGCTGAATAGCTACGGAGCGGCATATGTCTCAAATGCCGGTGAGGTTGGATCTGCCGACTGCCAGTGTAATTTTACCCACCTACAACAGCTTGTGTGTGTACCAGCTACCTATTTGATTGCAAGCATCACATCAATGATATGTGAATTTTGCGTAATAGGTATTTATCATCAGTGAAACACTCAAACCGTGCGTGATCTTTTTTACCTAAGTTGACAGAATGGGAAGCCAGCGGCGGCGGAAGGTATTCTAGGATAGGGGTGCAAACGATATTGAAGCGCCCCTTCCCGCTGGGCGCCCCTTACCATATACACGGTTGTAGTAACACAAACAGTGAAGAGACGTTTGACAATGTGTTGTACCTGTTAACACGTTCAGAATTACAGTTTTTATGTAACGAGAAATAGTTAGGTACATTCCATAGCGTAAATGTAACCTTCATAATGTTCGTTTAGAAACAACCTCATCACCATATCATAAGATTCTCCGAATAAGGCATATCGAAAAGAGTTCCACGGTTCCAATACCTTCGTGTGGACTAGTGAATAAGGCGCCGAATCCATAACACTAACTCGGTGACAGAGAATTGCAGGCCGGTAAGCAGCATGCCGCCTGGGCTGCACTGCACTAGTGCACCGGTGTTGAAAGGCCGCCGGTGTTGAAAGGCGGCCTTTCAACACCGATAGGAGCCCGAAATGAATGAATACAGGCAATCAACGCTGGTAGGTGTCCCAGCGAAATGAATGCATCTATTACCACCCAGAGGTGCCCCCATTTCAAACTAATACGACGGCGACGCCTCCACACCGATAGGGGCCCATCCCAGGGGAACAGAATAAATGCCGCCCCCTCATTGCCGGGCGCCCCAGGAGAATGAATGTTACACATCAACACCAATATGCCTCTCAGTGAAATGAATTATGAATGTCGCCTTTCGATGCCAGTATGCGCCCCAGACACCAGTGGATTTACTGCCGCCTTAAAACACCGATAGGCACCTCAGTGAAGCATATGCCGGCCTATACCACCGATAAGCGCCCCGGATGAATAAATACCACCCGTCAACGCCGATAGGCGCCTCAGTGAAATTAATGCCGCCCCAATCTCCGATAGGCGCCCCAGGTGATAGTGATGCATGTCGCCCATCAACACCAACGGGCGCCCCATTGAAATGAATACCGCCCTTCAACACTGGCAGACGCCCCAGTGGAATGAATGCCGCCCCACAATGCCGATGGCCGTCCCTGCACTGGAAAATCAGTTTCGCCCCTATACAGGCGCCCATAGAAGTTTGCAGAGTGCTATTCCTGGTCATAATCATCTCCCCAGTAAAAAAAAAAAAAACGCAAAATACGCCCTAGCACTAGGGGTGTAACCGCCCATACGGACAGTGCAATTTTACAGGCCCCAATCTCGGACCTCCCTTAACTTCGTATGTTGTAAACGACAAACCGCCCCCAATAAATGTTACACAAACTAATTTCCTCTCGCATATCGGCCATCAGGCGCCCCTTTTTGTCGCATGGAGCCTGCAACGCTATAAGCCCTCATATGTTCGTGTTGGCGTTCGGAGGCTATCGCCTTCAAAGACGTCTCCATAAATGTTTCTTTTTCGTCCCACACACAGGTGCCCCTCTTTCGCATGCAGGCGCCCCTCTTCCGCATGACGCGCTTCTCGAGTGGCTGCGCCCTCCTAGCCTTTATCGCCTGGCAAGATTATATTCGACAGGGTTGACAGCATCTGCCTTTGTTTCAGATAAGGATGCCCTCCACTCTTCAGCATATCAAAAGATACTTTTCCCACGTCATTGCCACCCTCTTCGTGTCACAAGTTCCTTTATCAGTTGCGGTGTCGCACTGCTCAGCTTTATGGCTGCCGCACCTCTTAACTTCCTGCCTCCTCTACAGATTTTCGAGGCGCCCCTTTCCATAGCTTTAGGGTGCAGCTGCCCCCCTTGCCCCCCTGCTTCCGCCGCCACTGTGGGAAGCTTCTGGTTAAGTTATGCCTAGCGCCCACCTTCTTAACACACCTGTGTTTTAAATATGCTTGTTTCGATTCTCAGGGAAGACAAGTTATTCCATCCGGCGGCCCGGCGCGGTAGTTTGGAAATGGAGCAGGGCAGGCGGCCGGAGAGCCCTCTCAGTGTTCGCAGCGCCACCAAGTAAGCAGAAGAGACCCTACTGTCTCATAACAGTATCTCAGTCAGAATCAGCCACAGGGAGTAGAAAGAATCCCATCCGAGACCGTCGTGGATAGGTGCCGCGCACTCTCTGCTTTTTTTCATTAGTCGTCTGCTATGGCAAACGTAGCTATTGCATGACATGCTTTTTAACATTGCCTGCTTTGTCGCTTTGACGTTCGGTAGTTTAGTCCAGTATTTCACTTAAAGGGACCCTCCCACCTTAACATTAGATTTGAGTTGAGATAGCCAAAATGGGGTCCCTGGCTCACAATTACCGGTTTCGGCACTCACAACATTGAGAAATGCCTTAATAAAGGGACCCTCCCACCTTCAAAAAAGTTAATGAATTGGCACGAAAGTGATGTCGCTCGGTTCAGAAAGAGCGAAAACGAATATCTACCAAATTTCATCGAAAAATATTCACCGGTTTTCAAGATATTAGACTTTTACTTTTGTTTACTTTTTGGGATCTCCGCTGTTCCTAGCGACTTTATTTGAAAGTGCGGCATTTGTTGCGCGCAAAGCAACATATACCACCGCGTGCTACCAAACGTTTTAGTAAAAGATTTAAAAATCGTTAGATCTCCGCTGACGTCACAAATTCTAAGGGGGCATACCAATGCACTAGCCCCTTAGAATCCGAAAACTGCAAGTTTGAAATTCCATATCTCCGAATTAAAGCATTTGTCGATGTTGTGAGTGCCCAAACCGGTATTTGCAGGCCATGGCCACCAATTTGGCTATCTCAACTCAAAACTAATGTTAAGGTGGGAGTGTCCCTTTAAATCGGAAATATTGAATTTTAAAATTGCAGCGTTTTGATTCAGAGGGGCTAATGCTTTTGAATACCCCTCTGAATGTGTGACGTCAGCGGGGATCTAACGATTTTTAAATCTTTTACTAAAACGTTTGGTAGCACGCGGTGGTATATGCTGCTTTGCGCGCAACAAATGCCGCACCTTCAAATAAAGTCGCTAGGAACAGCGGAGATCCCAAAAAGTAAACAAAAGTAAAAGTCTAATATCTTGAAAACCGGTGAATATTTTTCGATAAAATTTGGTAGATATTCGTTTTCGCTCTTTCTGAACCTAGCGACATCACTTTCATGCCAATTCATTAACTTTTTTGAAGGTGGGAGGGTCCCTTTAACGGGTCTCTGAGGGGTAGCTGATAGGATAGCATCTATGTCACACATGGGCACACCTGTCTCATCGTCTTTGCGTAGATTAACGCTCACGTATCGCGCACTCAGCTACACCATGTGCCCTAGCGGTGACCTCGGAGGTTGGCCGGACTGACCAGAGGTGACCGACCCGTTCCAGTTCGGCGGCCACCACCCTGCCAGCGATCCGGTCCGACTCGGCACCCGCTCAGCGCGAGACACGCAGTGTTCCCAGCTCCCCGAGTCGGGAGAGCAACGTCCGGACCGACTCCGTCCCGCACCTGCCCAAAATACAGCACTAACATGGCTCACATACGCTCCAAACTGGGCTATATCGGCGACAATCGGTTCAAAGGTCCTCAAGTCCTTCGAAATGTCATGATATCCTTCGAGAGCAAATTTTTCCTTTGCCATAACGAACACTTCACATTTCGGCGTTTTGCCTTCACGTTTGGCATCATGCATTGACTGAGCAACACCGATGACACATCGTCGGTGCAGTGTGCTGTTTGTTTAAATTTGTTCATTTAATTTGTGAAATATGAGTTGGAGAGTGCACGGTATTTCCTGCCCACGGCTTGTTCGTGTTGGATTGGGTGCTAGGTGTCATGCTGCGATTCGCTGAAATCCACAGTAAACGTTTCATACAGCAATTTTATTGCTGTTAATATTGGCAGCTGTTGTTACATCAAAACATGATTTATTAACATCGATTAAGCGCCAGCATAAAAACTATCCTCCAGTCAAAACGGAGCAACACTTCACTGACGACCGGCTACCAATTCCATTAGAACCACACGGCGGAAATTAGCTGGCCATAAAACGTTGGACATCGACGTGGAGGCACCAATTGGTGCTATATCGGTCCAAACTTCAAATTACTTCGCGATCGAGTGACCTTGGAACTTCAGGGTCCGCTGCTGCACTTACAGCACCAGCCCCTAGCACCGTGATTCGGCCACGTATATGCACTCACACAGGTGACCCTTTTCGCTGTGGCTAACCACATATAACTTTGTGGTCGGTACTCGACTTGTTCTGCTCTCCTGCCGTTGGTGTACTTTGCTGGTTGTCATAAGTATCGTGCATTGTTCAGATTGACTTGTGCGCGCCATTCTTCGTTCGATTGGTGCGGTGTTCAGGTCGACAGGTGTCGGCTAGCGCCTTGCCTCCCCGATGGTTTGCCTGATCGATATAATATTACCACACTGCTGTTTCTCACAGTTGACGCCAGTGTTTGTCTCACATGTCACGTGACTAGCCCTATGAACGGTCCGTCAACTCTGACCGTGTCGAGTGTTATCTCTGCCTGGCGAGTGCGTCACTCCTCCCGGTCCGCGCCTTGTGTTCCCCTGACGAGTGACCTGTCCCGGCGTCCCGTGTCGCTCAGTTCTGTGCCCAACTCGGCCTCTTCCCCGCTGCAACTGCCGCCGATTGCCATTGGCGCCGCCTCGCCCGAGCCCACCGAGGCCGACCGCCTGGAGATGCGGCAGAACCTGCGCGGCATCAACTCGGTCCTCGGAAGGTACGCTAAATGGGCAGTCGGCTGATTTGGTATACATAGGTATAAAGTATACAGTAACAGAGAAATCGTTTTTGTTTTGTCACTATCAAAAAGGATCTCCATGTCCAGTCGAACTAAGATTCGCTCATTGGCGCTGGAACCAGTTCCATCTTACTCATAATAGTAATACAATGGTGTGGCATTAGCGAAACTAGGTGCGACGCCGGAAAACACACTGACCTGCAGAGCGCCTCTGCACTGCGGCACAGCCTAACTTATAAAGAAAAGCAGCGACTTAGGCGTTAAAGGAACTATCCCACCTTCTAAAATGCTGTTAAAACCAGTTAAATTGTGCCCGACTTTATAGATTGGATGACCAGGAACACGGTTCTGGCATTTATTTTTCATTAAACATCTTAGGCTTCCCATATTCCAAACACAAACTTTCAAATATGTGACGTCACAGCCCAAAATTACCTCCTTCCCCAGGCCACATTACTGTCATAAAGCTGATTCTTTTTACTCTGTAGGCACCACAACAAAGTTCAGACCAAGTTTTAAGCGATTTTTCAACGAACAAACCCATTTAAATCAGAATGACTTAACGAGGTGACGTCACACAAACGGTCGCCCCATGTTGAAGATAGGGCCTTGCGCAAGGCCCATTTTCAAATGAAGGGAACGGATTTCTTCAACACCAAGAGGCCGCGGGGGTGCAACCTAGATAGATAGTGGTTTCTGAACCTCGCCGCAAACTTGGCTATCTCAACTCAAACCCCATGTTAAAGGTGGGATAGTCCCTTTAATTCAGTGTTTTACATTTGAAAGGCAAGCAGTCAGCTTTCGTCCTTTAGTCCCTATACGAACGTTGTAGTCTCCTGAATGTAAATGTTTCGTGAACGTATGTGATCGTCGCATACGAGTTTGCTGATCGTTCTCTTCTATCAGGCGCGGCCGAGGCAGGCGACTCTCGGGATCCGCCGAGGCTCTGAATTCAGCGGGTGGAGGCAACGGCGACACTGTCAGGTGAGTGAGTGAGTGAGTGAGTGAGTGAGTGAGTGAGTGAGTGAGTGAGTGAGTGAGTGAGTGAGTGAGTGAGTGAGTGAGTGAGTGAGTGAGTGAGTGAGTGAGTGAGTGAGTGAGTGAGTGAGTGAGTGAGTGAGTGAGTGAGTGAGTGAGTGAGTGAGTGAGTGAGTGAGTGAGTGAGTGAGTGAGTGAGTGAGTGAGCGAGCGAGCGAGAGAGAGAGAGAGAGAGAGAGAGAGAGAGAGAGAGAGAGAGAGAGAGAGAGAGAGAGAGAGAGAGAGAGAGAGAGAGAGAGAGAGAGAGAGAGAGAGAGAGACCACCTGTTCCGTAAGACTGACCTCCCACTACCCCGCCCAGGCCGTACCGACTGCGGCGAGCCAGCAGTTACGACGAGCTCGGCTCATTGGCTGACCTTCGCCGGCGCCGGACTGGGTCACTGAGGGACCGGCGCGGCCCAGAACGGATATCGCTGTAAGTCGCTTCACCTGAGCAACAGCAGAAGTGTCCGAACCCGTACATACGATAAGCGTCACGTTTTTTTCGATACAATAAGGTCAAGGAGGCCCGTATCCGTAAATATTCAATTGGATAGTGATTTGGATAGTAAAGTAGGATCAATTGGATAGAGATAGAGAAGTAAAGGTCCTGTTTCACTAAATGACGATTTAAATGTTACATGGTGCATACATTTCTTGCAACCTTACAAGTCAGCGTATCGTGGATGACATTTCAACCACTCAATATGGGCCGTCTAAAAGCCGTCCTGCCGTCATCCCAGCCCACAACAAACCGTTACCACTCGTCACCATACGCCCTTTACTGAACTGTAATCACTTCCACTCGCCACCACCCGTTCTCCACCACCCTCACCACCAATCATCACTCGTTTCTACGACAGTGGCGCCAGGCACGGAGAGCCCATCGTCGAGTCCGATGACGAGGGCGACGGGACGCGGCTGCCATCGCTGCAATCCCGACCCGCTGGCCGTCGCCGGGGGTCACTGCACGACAGCGGCCTTCCGCCGCGTGAGTCGAGGAGAGGGGTAGTGAACGCTAGGGAAATGGATAATGGACGTATCGGTGTGCCCCACTATTGTCGTGACGTTTTTCTTTTTTGCCATGTCGTCTGTCCCGTTGGCTCTGATTCCATGGCGTCTGTACGCAATTACCATAAAGACTGTCTTGCAGTTTCCATGGCGTTCATTATTGGCTGTTACCCTGACGTCTGTCCCATCACCACGTTCGTCTGTCTCTTCTACCGTGGGCCCATGGTCCTCACTCCATCATTGAAGCCAGTTTGGTTGCATCTCCCGCTAACGGCTCGTTTTTGTCCCCGCTGCCAGTGCCCTCCATCAGCAATGGACGCAAGTCTCGCTGGTCTGCCCGGCCGCAGTCGGGTAGCTCCGTGCTTAGTTTCTCCCTGCTGCGCTGAGCTCAGAGAGTGAGCTGTTAGCGGAGCGACCGGGGAGTGCTGTCGTCCCGTCCGCGCGGAACGGATAGGGAGGGCGGTCTGGCGGGTGCCTCGGCAGGCAGTGCAGGAGAGGAAGCAGAGAGGCAGCAGGAAGGAGGCTCGGAGGAGACTTCAGAGAGACAGCAGGAAGGAAGTTGGGAGGAATCAGCAGAGAGGCAGTAGGAAGGCAGCACAGAAGCAGCTAGGGAGGCAGCTGGTAGGCAGCTGTTGTAGGCGGCTGCCCCTGTAGTGACCAGCATCCCGAACCAACGCATCCGCCCAGAAGCTAAGCCCTGAGAATAGTGATTCTAGATGAACACAACAGGGCAAAAGCAGTGCACATCGATTGGGTCACGCCGCCGAGGTTTCTCTCTGGTGCTCGTGCCTCGTAGCTCCAGCCCGATGCTGGGCTGGAGGCGGTCGGTTTGCTGAGCGGTTTGGGGTGTTTTAGTGGTAACTGGTATCCGGTGCATTGCAATGTCGGCTACCGTCTACCGTCCACACATTGCGCTCGTGACGCTTTGTACAATCTCGATGTATAGCTGTCAATGTACGAATAGTTTCTTGAGTCCTGCAGACTGCAGTTGCGTTCCAATATCGCTATCACGGTCTCCGTCCCCTCAACCCGCCGGGGACGATTTTTCCCCAGGGAAACGTCTGGTGCATTGTGGCCGTGGGCCGACCGGTGTTTTTCAGTCTGCTCTGCAAACTGTAATACCAATGCGGCCAGTTGCCGCTGTATGTGCGTGTGGTCTGAAGCGCTGCTGGGATTCACGACCGGTGGGCGGTTGCCCACCTTAGCAAGTACATTAGGCAGAAAATATTGTGCAGCGTGACATTATGTCATGATGAGGCATTAATGGCGAAACAGTTCAATATGTAGACAGGCTCTCTGGCTACAATCAGTACCGTCAGTGCATCGAAACTGTGATAAGCTATTTATTTTCTTCTAGGGTATAAACACCCTGTTATCCCCTCTTGTTTGAAATATACTTCGTGGTGCACAAATTCTGTTGCTGACACATCATGAGAAAGTGGTTTCCGTACCGATTGGGCACATCTAATTACAAAAGGAGCATTGTCGCTCGCAAAACATTTGCATGGAACCAATCTTACAGGAGCAGCAGCAATTACGGAATAGGTATTTGTGACGTTTGATTGTTATCGAAGAACAATACTTATCTTCACCGTTCCTAACTTATCACGTACCGTTCAGATTTCCTCTCTGTCAGTAAGACATGCAATGGGAAATGTCAACTTACACAACAGTGTGCAAAAAGCAATGTAAAAAGACATCAAAGAAATGCTTACCGTGAAGCGAGCCTTGAACAATGGCAAAAACAATATTAATCACCAGCAAGGATTCTTATGAATGTTTGTCAATGCGATGACGCATAACACCGTCTTACAGTAAGACCCAAACTTGTCAATTCAATCACGCCGCATCATAAATAACGGTGACTTCGCCTCTTGTCAACAACACAACGCCCTTCAGGCTTCAGCACCAGACTGTCATCACACCTCCATCATCTCTGCGCCGCTCACTGTCCCGCCGCTATGGCGCTCGTTCCAACTGTCCGTTCGTCACCCCACTACCGTCCCGTCCACCGGCCTCCTCACTGTCCGAGTTCTGACGCTCGCGCTCCGACGGCCGCACCCACGTGTCCTCAGTCCGGTACGCCCACAGCGAGCCGGCCGCCCTACTGCGGAACACAGTGCGGTAGAAGTGGTCGAAGAAGAAGAGCAGGTCGTCAAACTCACCTCCGTACGTGTCGTGTCGACTCTCCTGCAGCTCTCGGACAAAGTAGTAGACGGCCTCGATGGTGGCCAGGTGGGTGCGCGGTTTGCCTCGCTGGTACCGCCAGAAGCGCGTCTCGTGCTCACGCAGCTGGACGCAGCGCAGGCCGCGAAGCTGGTCAGAGTCCAGCAGACGGCGGCACTGGTTCCATGTGCAGTCGAGGAAGAGCGCGCGCCGCAGCGGCCGACCGGCGGCGGCAAACTCGGCAGAAACGTCGGCCACGGACCCGGCCGATGAATCGGGGAACACCAGCACAGTCTGCCGAGGGAGGAGTAGGTAGCAGTGAACAGAAGGTCGAGAACGGAACAGTTTGTGACCTGGACACGGTGGTCGGCGAATCAATTCAATTTAATTTCATTGATCATTGGCAGTACGTCATATACAATTTACATCCAGTCATTTTCCTGATGTGCCCTTATTCCACGGACTTTTGCATCAAAATCACCAAACAGAGTTGAAGTTACTAAACTATGAACCAACACTTTTGCTTACCCATAAACATCCTAGGGATGAAAGAAAATAGGTAATCAAAACCAAAAGCCAAAGCATTGATGTGACCTGACACCAGTCATCCCTACCTCATCTGGGTCGTAGCTGCCCACGTCTGGATACGTCCGCAGCGTGACGTCATCGGGGGCGAGGACGGCAGCATGTACGGCCGTGCTTTTGCCATTCGTCTCACCAGGGTGTTTGACAATCTCCACTTCTACTGGCAACTGCAAATGAACAAAATCATAAGACAGATTCATGACAATTTGGCATCACATCAGAAACAAGACAATGCATATTTATTTCAATACCTGTTACACCACTGTAAATCTTGAGCACAAAAAGATATTCATTCATATAGGTATTTGCCACTGAAATCGTAGAGAACTGTGACTATGGATGGCCCAGCTCAGCTTACCGGCACATAAGGAATTTTTCCAGTAAGGGCATCCACTGGTACCAGGCAATTATAGCAGAAGTACATGCGTGACTTGTGACACTTGGGGCATGGCGAGCGCTCAGTGAGACGTTCCAACACCTCTGCCGAACTTATATTTAGGTGCTTGAATGGCTCAGCAGGCTGCAGAGATGTCATATCTGAATATTCAGTGGTCAGGCCGGCTTCTCTGGAACAAAGGTAGGTAATAATAAATTCATAATCTCAAAGAAAGAGGAACAAAATAAATGAAAAATGGGCAAACATGACTTATCCTGCTTCAACTTCAGATGCTCACACTTAGGCTGCTTAATGCTCAGGTATGAAAAGATACCGGTAGTAGTAAAGCAGAGCTCTGTTCGGTTGCTGTTTTTTATCAGCATGCCGTCAGTTTTCTCATATAAGGAAGTTATTGCTGACACTTCTTAGCTGGTCATTGGTCAAATGAATATGAATAGGCCACATGAATTCGACTTACGACTATGATGAGACAAGAAACAGCAGCATGCTCAGTGCTCACAGCCTGCTGATAAAAAACTGAGACTGAACAGCACCCAGGCATCACACTTGTTTTGGCAGCCAAGGAGAGGTGCTGTAGGTTAGGTTATAGAAAAACACGGAATACCAAAAACAACATACAGTACAGGTGGTATTAGGTGGTAGCTTTTGGGTTGTTACGAGCGAGCGAGCGCAGCGAGCGAAGCGAAGTCTTTTCAATATAAGGGAAAAATCTCAGTATGAGCGGCCCGGCCCGGCCCGGCCTGTAACGCTTTTGAGAGGCTTATATCTCAGCAACCGTTGGACCGATTGCCCTGCGGTCTTTTTTTGCTGGGTAGCCCCATCCCTTCTACCCCGTAATTGACTACTTTTGATACATCTCAGTGACCGTCGTGGCACGTGCCACGTGAAAAGTCAAAGGTGTTCAAGCAGTTTTGCAAAAGTAGTGATTTTGAGAGGCCCATATCTCAGCAGCGGCTTGAGCGATTGTCTTGCGGTAATTTTTATAGGGTAGCTGCATCCCTTCTACCAAAGGTCGGATACTCTTGATCTATGTGAGTGACCCCCAGTGCACGTGCAAAAATACAACAATAAGAGGTGTCAAATTTGTTCCCATTTCAATAACTCGGTAATTACTGGGGCGATTTCGCTGAAACTTGGCATACAGGTAGGCACCCACCAGGCAATGCATTCCCATGTGTTGCGGTTAGGGTGCTACTGCACGTGCGCACGTGCAGGGGGCGCTTCCAGATCTCGAGAACGGCTGGGCCGATTACGCTCAAATTTGGCACACGGTTGGGGACCGGTTAGGAGGGTGCCGTGCAAAAGTCAGTTTGGACCCCGTTTGCACGTGCACACGTGCAGAATGCCGCTTCCAGATCTCAGAAACGGCTGGGCTGATTGCGTTCAAATTTGGCACACCGCTAGCGACCGGTTAGAACGGTGCTTTGCACAAGTCCGTTGGAAGTACCCTCTCGCCCTTCCGCACGTGCAGGGCTCACTATCTCGCTCGCTCGTCCTTCGCCCAAAAGGCGTTTTACTGGTAGGTTTTAGGTTGTAGGTATGGTTAGGTCAGGTTTGGCTTGGTTGGATTAGAAAGCATATCTGGGTATAGCACCTCTCCAGTCCTTGGTTGCAAAAAAAAAAACACATGCGATGCCTGCTTTATGACTACCAAGATACCTACCTACTATCTAATAGAAACTACTATGGACGTCAAACCCCTTGAGACCCCACTTTTTTGCGATAATTTTGAAATGTGTCAACATTCGTTGACAATATTCTGGCAATGTGTGTTTCAGAACCTGCCGAAACTTTTATTACTAAGGTATTTTGACGCCAAACGATTATGGAAGGTACTTCTCATTCACTCGTAATGCTAAGGTCAATTCAGGCCCGGGCAGAGGCTTGCGCTCGGCCACACTCGAGCCCCGCCACCAGCGCCATCTGCTCTAAATGCCATCTACCAGCGCCCGCTACCGCTACCAGCTACCGCCCACCATCAAGCCTGAATGGAGCGAGAGACGCGAGTGACCGGTCGCCGGGCAAGGAGCGCCGGAGGGGTAGGGCCAAGGTAGGGCGAAGCTTAGCGCTGACGTCATTACGTGGCTCCGCCCCATGAGCGCGTAGCCTCTACCCAAACAGCAGATTCGTTCCGTGAAATTTAACATTACGAGTGAATGAGAAGTACCTTTCATAATCGTTTGGCGTCAAAATACCTTAGTAATAAAAGTTTCGGCAGGTTCTGAAACACACATTGCCAGAATATTGTCAACGAGAGTTGACGCATTTAAAAATTATCGCAAAAAAGTGGGGTCTCAAGGGGTTTGACGTCCATAGTAGTTTCAGAAAAGAGGCTATCTAATTTTCAGCATTAACTACTGCCTAAATTCCAACCTAATGTCCCTAAAGTCAGTTCGTCCAAAGCAAAATCCAAAGGGAGCTAACGAACACAGATAATTTTCAGCATAATGTACAGAAAATCGTGAATCTGCTCACGCTGACACCTTTTAGCGAGCGACATCAAATCAACGCATTCAATTTGCCTTTGCGAGGCGATAGCTTCTGCACACGACCAATTTAGAACAAAATGGAAGAACTGGTATTTGAAGCAGCTGCATCATAATTGTCTCAAAAATCTTGTTATTTGACTGCAAAAGACTGTTCAGCGCATAATTACAGTAATTTATGAGAAAAACTCTATGAATCACGTTTGCAACCACGCGAAAGTGTTTTGTTACTAGCAGAGCTGGGCGCGTTCCTCGATTTTCGGTAGTGCGTTAGCGTTCCTGCGTTCCTCCGGCCGCGGTTAGTGCGTTCCTGGAATAGCGTTCCTCATTTTTTTTTTCGCTCGGTGCGTTAGCGTTCCTGCGTTCCTGCGTCCCAAACTGTTAACCCGTATTGTATTCTGGCTCTACCAAGCAGCAAATCATACCAAAATCAGTGCAACGCAACACTGTAGCGGACAAAGTAGGCAAATCGCGCCAGTCCAACACTACAGGCGTGTTCTTCACAACCGAAGTCGTGGACAAAGAAATACCGCCGAACCACGCGGCGCGGGCCCAACCAAACACGGGGCGAATCGATCACAAATCACAATACCCAGAATGGCGACGCGGGGCCGAAAAGCAACTCGACATCTCTTTTCCGAATCGAATATCTGAAATACGTTTTACCAATATCATCCGTAGGGTTTTCAACAAAAATACGACCTGCTTAAAAACAATAGTTAAGTTGAAAGATGTATCTAAGTAAAAGTTATCATATTCCTTTACACATTTGATGCCTGAAGGCTGAAACCGAATCGAATAGTGAACATCACCACTAAATCTAAACGAGCCTTCCTCGATTCGACCGACAAGTGGCGCCTCTACCGGCAAACACACGTACTCGAGATTCAAACATTTGACACAGAGGTCATTGGCAGCAATATGATTTTTCGGGTGGTTCCGCAAGAACGCAGGAACGCTTCAAAATTTCGGGTGGTGCGTTCCTCTTACTTGCGTTCCTTTGAAAAACTTTGCGTTCCTGCGTTCCTAAAAAGGGCGGTGCGTACGTACGGAAGAACGCAGGAACGCACTAAAGGAACGCACTTGCCCAGCTCTGGTTACTAGATTTTTATTTCACCATTCCACTTGCTTTTCCCATTTCGAATCATTTTCCTCGTCAGTGACAAGTCAATAATTTCCTTGACACAGCACATGCGCTGCCGAGGGGAGTGTTGACTACCCAGTAAACCTTTTCAAAAGTTTATTTTCGTAAAGAAAGAAGTCGTATCGCAGTTTTTAGTCATAACAGTTGTTAACATAACAGTCTGCCGCTCATCAGACTTTCAGAAACTGGTCAAAACCTAGCACGATGAAGAGTTATGGTGGACATTCGAACCAAACGTAGCATCACAAAAACAGCGGCATTGATCGACTGGGCCGAACACGCAAACAAACAATATGCATAAGCCGCACACGCTACGCTATGTGTACGCACCCCGAATACTTATCGATTTACACAAGCATAATGATCACACAAGGGAAGGAAGGGCCCGCTGACCTTCACAAACTCAAATGATCCCAGAACAGACACGAACACGAACAATCCGCGCTACGTCTGACTGATCACATCTGAGCTATTACACGTTCTAATTCATCATCAACAACAAAGACAGGGTATCGAAAATGAGATGCTCTGGTAACTCGACACACGATTCGAATGTTGAGGGTGTGTGTCTTAGCGTCATCACCAGACAGGACGAACTAGCATTGTACAGCGAGCAACAAGCAGGCATCACTGATCAACCCATCACGGACAATGTCGACCACAGCCACACAAGGCGCACACCACTGCACTGCCGGGCTCCGCGATGAGTAAAGCGCAGACCATCCGCCAGCCTTAGAGGTGAACGAGAGGCTTAGATAGCAACGGGGAAATGATACCGCCGTCCTGGCGGCCCTCATCCTATCATCACCTAAACACTGCCCCAGATGGACATACGTGGCAGCTCCTGACCATCTGTAACTTATCCTATTGACACTGTCACCGCTCCCCTGCATCTGACGTCACAGACGGGGCGGCACCCTGACCCGGCGCGGGGGCACTTGAGCCCGGGGCCGCCGCAGGACCGGGCGGCGGCGGCATCTTACCCGCAGATGGCGGCATTCTGCCCATCGGGACTGTGCCAGGCATTCTTCCCATGGGCACTTCCCCAGGGGGTGGCATTCTTCCCATGGGCATCCCTCCCGGTGGAGGCATCCTTCCCATGGGCGCTTTCCCCGGCATGGCTCCCGCTGGCGGCATTCTTCCCACAGGCATCCCCGTGTGCATGCCCAATCCTCCGAGCGGCCCACCCGTCACATCGGCCGGGATCACTAGCTCGTGTATCCGTTCAGAGGCCGGAGCGATACTCAGGATGGAGCCGAACCGACAGTGCTGGATGACCGGAAACTTGCAGAGTACCTCGCCGCGGTACATGTTGAGCAGACCTGAGTTGACCTTGGTCCAACGCGCCACGGCACTGATGTTCCACAGCTGGTTACTGTGCTCGGCAAACGGACCCGTCTTCACCTGCGAACGGGGACCGTGACGGTCATAGGTCGAAGGGGTACAGGTCGGTTACGGACCGGTAAGGGTCACGGGTCGGGGCGGTTCGGGTCACGGTTGGCTAAAAGTTACAAATGAGGCAGGTCATGGATGCCAATGAGCAAATTGGCTCATTGGCATCCATGACCTTATTAGCCGGTCCCGTAGCTCAGTTGGTTAGAGCGTTGGACTCCGCGTGGTGAGAGCACGCGTTCCCGGTTATGACAGTCCGGGTTCGAAGCGCGACGGGCGCTCGACATTTATGGGCCTCCTGACAGGTATGGTTGCGGTTGGTGGCAGGCCGTAGCCAGGCGAAGTCAGTGAGGGGACCGGCCGTGCGCGGCTTTGTGCGCACGTTAAACTTTGGGCTCTAAATTCTGCCATAGAACCGGAATTGCGCGATCGGAGGGTAGAGGGCAGGGTCATCGCAACAAGCTTCGCTTAGCGGTGACTCTGTCCTTGTGAATCCTTCCCATCAAAAGGTTCGGACTAAATTTATAAAAAAAAAAAATTAGTGGACGGTCCGGAAGCGAGTTTCAAGATACTTTCCTAAAAAAGAACACGTCGTATACAGTACATCTTCGTTGAGGTCAAGATTCACCGGTAAATGACGTCCGATGCTTCAACCATTATCATAATGTTCAATGTTATTATATCGGTGCAGACTTTAAACAACGTGTTGAGCGATACGCAGGAGCACATGTCGTAACACACCTCCATCCAGCTGCTAAAATCCCCCCCCCCCCCGAACGGTCGCATCACCACCCAGAAGCGGTCACGCAACAGCCCAACACCTCACTTCTTCCCGCCATCACACAGTCTCCCCAGCACACACCTTGAGAATGTACTCGATGGCGGCAAAGATGAGGTAATCCTTAGCCAGCGCGTGCACCATGTCCTCATTGGCGATGGCTTTGGGTGAGACGCGGTTCTGGTCGATCAGCTGCGCACTGCCCCAGATGAACGGTACAAACTGGTGGTCGTCCAGGCTCCAGACACCCTGGCTGCCGGCCGGCTCCATACGGTAGCGCTGCTGCAGCTGCTGTGCCAGTCGAAGGTACCTGAAACGAACGGGGCACGCGAGCGTTACGGTGGGTATATACGGTCTGTTAAAATCCTCCCGAGTGCCCAAAAATGCCCAATCGGACGACGGAGGCCGCGACCCACGCATCAAACTCTGCTTAGCATGGGCTCCAGCTTTGTCAGCCATTTTTTTTATAAATTTAGTCCGAATCTTTTGATGGGAAGGATTCACAAGGACAGAGCCACCGCTAAGCGCAGCTTGTTGCGATGACCCTGCCCTCTACCCTCCGATCGCGCAATTCCGATTCTATGGCAGAATTTAGAGTCCAAAGTTTAACGTGCGCACAAAGCCGCGCACGGCCGGTCCCCTCGCTGACTTCACCTGGCTACGGCCTGCCACCAACCGCAGCCATACCTGTCAGGAGGCCCATAAATGTCGAGCGCCCGTCGCGCTTCGAACCCGGACTGTCATAACCGGGAACGCGTGCTCTCACCACGCGGAGTCCAACGCTCTAACCAACTGAGCTACGGGACCGGCCATTCGTTAAGTTAGCCATTCGAGCTAACTTTAAAAAAATGCAGGCATTACCCGGTGAAGGAAGGCACTGACCGTGGAAAGACGACCAGTCCGGCGTCTGCCATGTCATCCTCGGCCAGCGCGCCGACCTTGAACAGGCAGCAGAGCAGCATGACGAACGCCAGCTCGTGTCCGGTGCCGTAGTCGATGCGGGTGGCGTTGCCGACCGACTCGGTGAGGTAGACGGCCATCTCTGGTACGGCGCGGTGGAGTTTCGGCGGTAGGGCGTCCCGCAGCAGCGGCTCGGCGCGCTGAGGACGGTGAGGAATGGTCAGCGGCGGGCAGAGGGTAGCGGGGCGTAACACAGAAACAACGGTGGACACAGATAACCCGAGCATACACAGGTCAGAAGCGGGTCGGTCTGTTCACGGCCAGCGGCACAGTTGCTGCCTGCTGCGTGTCCACTCCACGGTCCGCATGCAGTGGACGCGCGAGAAGAGGTAAACGTAAATCATGAAAGTGGATATGGGTACCGGTTACCAGTGACACCAAATGCTAGACTAGTCTACAGTGTCAGTGTCAGCCCTACGCGCGACAGATTCACTCCGGCTACGGCAACGTGTACAGACCTCCTCAAGGCGCTGATAGAACGTGCGGAAAGCCTTGTTGCCAAAGCGCTGGGGCTGCTCGACGGGCGCGATCTCGTCCACCCAGGAGGACATATGGTCGAGGAGGGCCACCAGACGACGCACGGCGTCGGAGCCAGCCTCTGCCGTGGCGGGCGGCATCTTCAGGCCGCGCACCGCCGTGTTCACCGCCAGCAGCATGCCCATGATGTCCTGTGGAGACGGGACAGCATGATCAGCCGGATGCTGGGTGTTGGCGCCGGAGAGACTGATTAGGCGCGGGTGTATCGATGCTTCAATGTGACTGTTCATGCCTAACAATAAAACAAGTAGGTAATGTATTGAATGGATTAGGTACCTAACTAGTGCTTAGTTTGTTGCAATTATTTTCACTAGAGCTTTTGCCCTCAATTGTACCACTGAAGGTTGAAACAAGTTTGACTAGCTATTTTAAATCACAAAATTTAAATTAAATTGAAGTGACCTTGCAAGTCACCAGTTGACCAGAGATCCTAAAATTGGGCATACAAGCCCTCAGCAGCTCTTTTACAGCAAACACTCATTTTCTCACAAATCTCTACTTCAATTAGGGACAAAACAGTGAAAGGGGGGGTTCTTCATTGGGTAAGGCAATTTGAGGAAATTCAGAAGTCTGCTAAGAGTTGATGTAAATGATAAGGCCAATATGAAAGCTAGTTGAATGGTTGATTTGAAGAGCATAAACCACTAAAAAAAAACTAAGCACACCAACATCATAAATGATGATTCGAACCAGAAATATAAGATAATTGAATCATGCAAATAATTGGATGATAACTGAGCTGAAGATAACCTGGCACTTATAAAATAATTGAGCAATTGACTTTGATAATGCATATTATAAGTACTGAGCTGCTACATCAATAGCTCACCTGATAAGCCTCTGATTCAGCCCATTTCTTTAGCTCATTGTGGGCCTTGACTTCCTTTTGAGGAATCTTGAAGTCATGGGTATCTGAAATACAAAAATGAACACACTGCAGTGTAAATGACAGAGCTATAGAAAGCTTTTACTCAAAAATGACTTTAAATCAACTAGAACAGTGTAAACTTTATATTAAACTTAATGAAAGAGGCACTGGCAGCTGATCTTTACCCATGATACTGCTGACTTGATGCTCACTGCTCAACCATTATGATTTCTCACCCACAGCACCAGGGTACTGACTTAGCTAAGCTGGAAAACAAGAGCTCACCTAAGTATGGTCTTACAGTCTGAAAGCTCTGTGAACCCACTAAACACAATTTACGCAAAAGTAATATAGCTATGTCTGTCCTCATGCACAGAGCTTAATGAGATCAGGACCCAAACAGGCCAAGTTTGGCCATCTAAATTCCTGTACCTGGTAAGGTAAGGTAATAACAGCAATACTCAGTTAAGTAAGTAGGTACCAAGGTATCCCCCATCATCCAAGGGCTGTCTCTGGTTTCACAAATTGAAATGTCAACCCAGGGAGCTCAGGCCAGGTAGGCTTGGATGAACATTACCTACATACCCATCAGTCATGGTCTCATGTTCGTTATTTGAATGTAGTTAGTGAGTGAGTAGTGACTGAAGTAAGCTAATACTTAATCTTGCCTTATGCCAAAATTTATTAAATTGCTCGTTTCATTAGAATTTCTTTGTGCACCTTCCAGGCAAAAATTCCAGCACACAGATCACAAGAGATGCTGTGCCAAAGTTTTGGCACAATCTGCCTGTTACGCCAGGCATGTCAGCAATTACATGGATTTTTTTGATTATTTCCCAGTTTGGGTCCTGGGGTATAGGACATAGGTAGGTACCTACATCAAAAACCCGCCATAAAATCTGAACTCACCACAATTAATTGCCATTTCTGCAAAAAAACGTGAATATGATGATCTGTCTTTTCAACTCCACTCAGCTCCACAATCTCGGATTGAGGATGCCTCCGATGCCTCGATCTATAGGTATCTCGCCTCGATTCTCTCGATCTCGGTCTAAATAATTCACAATAACAATACTAATTTCGATGTACGCACATGAAGCCCACGAAAGTGAGCGTACTGTTCAAACAGCTATCATTTTTCATGACAGTTCACTGCCAGTATCAGGTTGCTAGGCAATCAGCTTTCAACATCTCGTTTTTTGTGCGAGTTGCTAGGCACTGAAGATCGTTGCTAGGCAACGACACTCCGTTTCGTGCTATTACTCAAAACTGAACATTATCTTTGTCTACAATCAAACTTTTAACGTAACTTTTGCATCCCGGCCAAAATTGCCGGGTTAACTGTCCCACCGCTCGAGACTGGCACTAGGCTGGCCGAGCAAAAAAAAAAAAAAAAAAAAAAAAAAAAATACCTTTCACATTTTTAGATAATTATTTTTTTGGTAAAATGACGTCATGAATATTACAGTTCAAAATGAATTCCACTGCAAATATATTGTTAAATTTGGCTCTAATTTTAATTTTACTGACTATTTTAGTCAAAAATAAATTTGAGTTATTTTCTTTCAATGGTCAAAATTGCAATTTAGACTTAATGTTTCAGAAAACTTCCAAAAAAAGTTCAAGTTTAATGATGTCATATTGTGACAGCATTCGAACAAATCTTCATAGCTATTGTGTATTTAGTTCGCCTTACGTTACGTTGCAACCGTTGCAACCTACAACAATAATAAAATTAGCTATTTCGCGCTTGCTGGTGTAGACTTATTTGCTTTTGAGCTAAAATTTACTTTGAATTTTGATCAGACCGAGACAGTGTTTACAGTGTATGCAAAGTTGCGAAGTAATTGTGACTTAACAGTCTTGCGTGGATTTGTCATGGTGTATCTTCATTTCCCGACTAATTTAACTGAGGGAAATAGTTTTACAAAATAAATATGCAAAGCTCCGCAAAAAGGTAAATGAATGCTATAAATACATTGCGTGAAACAAGTTGAAGTATGGGGTGCTGCAGATATAGGTACTGTATTGTTATGCATATTTTTATATTTTGATAGATCAAGATATTCTGAATTTGGTGACACAATTTTGATGTGGTGGATGTCATCCAACTGACTTTAACTGGCTGTGGGTGCTCCAGCCTATTGTGAATATCCCT